TGGGGTGTTGGGGGCTGGGGGCTGGGACAAGGGGGCAGGGTGTTGGGGCTGGGGCCCCAGGGAGTGGAAAAAGTCCCACTGGGAGGGTCTCTCAGCCCAGGCTGGGGGGGGCTCAGCCACCCTTTCTTCCAGCCTGGGAAGGGGCCCTGGGATCCGGGACTCACCTGGTCCCATTCAGCCAGTCTGCTGCAAGGATCCTACACAGGCTTGCAGGCACACATGGAACATTTAAAATGTATGTGTGTATGTTTTTGTTTTTGTTTTTTTTAGTCGGAGTCTCACTGTGTCACCCAGGTTGGAGTGCAGTGGTATACTCACTATCACCGCGGCCTCGACCTGTCGGGCTCAGGTGATCCTTCTGCTTCAGTCTTCCTAGTAGCTGGAACTACAGCATGTGCCAACACACACAGCTATTTTTTTTTTTAAATTGTAGAGACAAGATCTCACCATGTTGCCCAGACTGGTCTCAAACCCTTGGGCTTAGGCAATCCTCTTGCCTGCACCTCCCAGTGATGGGATTACACGTGTGAGCCACTGCACCCGGCTATGTATATATCTTTTTTTTTTGAGTAGCAGTCTCACTCTCACCTAGGCTGAAGTGCAGTGGCACACTCACCGCCACCGCAACCTCGACCTGTTGGACTCAGGTAATCCTTCCGCCTCAGCCTTCCAAGTTGCTGGAACTACAGGCGTGCATCACCACGCCCGGCTAATTTTTTTGATTTATTGTAGAGACAAGGTCTTGCCAAGTTGCCCAGGCTAGTCTCGAACCCCTGGGTTCAGACAATCCTCTTACCTCTGCCTCCCAAAGTGCTGGGATTATAGGCTTGAGTCACCACACCCGGCTATGTATCTTTTTAATTAGTGTGTTTATCTAAACAAAATGTAGGACAGAGACCATCACAGAACATACAATAGTATTTTACATTGAAAAATGCACATGTGACTACAATGGATTGTAAAATATCAAATACATAAAATTCTTGGGTTTTTTTTTTTTTTTTGAGTCGGGG